AATCTATTATAAAGATCATTAAAAAGAGAATTTTTAGCGTCACAGATTGTTCTTCTAGACTCACTACGTGTTGTTTGATATTTTTCCCAATTCTCTAAGTTTTTACATTTAAACCAATTTTTATAACATAACTTCTTATATTTTATCTTTTCTTGCACATTATTATTCCACCGCCAACTATTTTTATTTATAAAAACTTTTTCTTTTGATTCTCCAAGCACATCGATGATGAGTCTTAGTATTCTTTATTTAACAACTCTTAATCTTAAAATCTAGAACTAATAAACGTTGTTAGGTACTTAAATTTTCACTTAGAATGACCTTTTCACTTGGAATGGTACTTAAATTTTCACTTGGAATGACCTTACAATCTTTACAATCGCGACGATCTCTTCTTTTCATAAGAAAATAACCAATTTGTGTTTTATTAGAGCCACTCTTATAATTAATAAGAAGCTCATCTCTTTTCTTGAATAGAGTATTAGTAATAACAAAATCATACGCTAAAGCAAAATCTAAAATAACTCTACCTTCTTCATTAGTTCCTCCAAAACCGTATAATTAATAAGAAGCTCATCTCTTTTCTTGAATAGAGTATTAGTAATAACAAAATCATACGCTAAAGCAAAATCTAAAATAACTCTACCTTCTTCATTAGTTACTCCAAAACCGTAGCCACCATGAGTATTTCTGAAGTCTTCTACCACTCTACCGACATGTCCATTTAAATCTCCTCCAATAAAAATTCTTTCCTCAAGAGATATCATTTGTATTAAGTCTTCTAAGTCATTCCAAAATTTATTTTTAGACCCTGTATCTAAACCTACTCGAGGAGCATAAACACTTATTATATTAAAAATCTTAGTATCAATGATAATCTTAAGGACTATAAATTTATCTCCAACTCTATTAATTTTTATAACATTATCTTTCAAACTCTTATCTATAATTACACCTACACCATTTCTAGTATGACTCTTACCAAAATACCAAAGCTTAAAAACTAAATTATCAACCTCCTTAGCATTTTCTCTAACCCACTTAATTTCTTGAATACATAAGCTCGTAATATTATATTAATAAGAAATTCTATTGAATGGTTACAATTTAGTTTATATTTAATAAGTCACTAACAATAATCTTATACACCATTTCAACAAAAATGTGACTAAATGTGTGAAATGTTTAAGAAATGCTTATAAGCATATAAAGAACTAAAAAATAAAGATGCAACATCAAAATGACATTTATTAAATAACTTTAGTATGAAAAAAGTTTTATTTAACTTGATTATAAAAGTTTGAATGATTTGTACAACTAAGAAATAAGGAAAGACAAATGATGTCTAAACTTCATTATAGGTCTGTTTGAGGCAGCTGCAGATTATGAAAAAACAGTTGTGAAAGCTGCTAAAAATAATATGATGTTTAAAAACCTGCGGCGACTATATATATATATATATATATATCTATATATATTATCACCTATTCACCAATTCAATTACATCATTGTTACTTGTAGGTAATTAATCATTCTTAATATAATCAAATAAGAATGATAATGGATTAGAAATTATTTGATCATATAAAGAATATATTTAAAAACGGGAGGAACAATTTTTCCAATTCCTAAATGATAAATTTATTTCGAAGCTCTTAAAAAATAATGGGAAATTATCTTTACTGCTCGTTGAAATTATTCTGCTACTGCTATTTTAAGTACTTATTTTGTAATGAAATGAACATAAATAGTGTGAGCTGCTCCATAAACTCTTTAACAGTACACCATTTTGAAGCTTTATATAAACTTTATCTCTTCATCATGGCATATAAATTCAAAAAACTAAAGCTTTCTTTTTTAAATTCATCGTAGTGGTAAACCGCAGAAGTCGAAGTTTGTAGTGGTGAGGAGGGAGCTTTAGGATTTCATAGAAAGAACCTGTCGACGGGGTATTGTTACATTATCTTCGGGGGATATCGTTGCACCGTATGTGGGGTAGATGCGTACATGTTTACACCATCGTTGAGGTGTGTAGTTATGTCATATTTAGGGTGCATTGTGACACTATCTTTAGGTCGTATCGTTACACCATCATCTGGGTGTGTTATTGCACTGTATTCAAGATGTGTTGTTACATCATCTTCTAGGCATGTCGTTATACCATCATTGAAGTGCGTGACGTGTGTCGTTGCACCATTTTCGAGAGGTGTTGTTACACTATTATTAATGTGTGTCGTTGCACTATATTTGTAGTTTGTTGTTACACCATCATTGGGGGCGTTGCTACTTGTGTACTGGACGATGTATTACTCTGTCGGGCGAATCACTGCTTCATACTGTATATTGAGATTCCACAATGCACATTATGACTCCACAAGGGACTATTGCAAGGAGCAAATGGTGGCTAAATGTGGTCGACGATGGATGGCATACAACGCTCCGAGTTGGATGGAGGCGATGGTTGGAGCTAGTTGGAGGGAGCAACAGTGGCTGTTAGAGGCGACAATCGAGTTAGCCGACGACGTTGGCCAAAGGCAGCGGCGGCTGCTTGAGTTGGCGACGACGGTTGTTAGGGTATGAGTTATTTGCTGGATTTGTTGTGTCAAATCCATGCAAAACTTCAACTCCTCTACCAAGTTTTAGTCTTCGTCTGACTCCAGGTTCGAGTCCCCTCTCAAGAGTGGGGTATGATTTATTTATAGAGTCCAGATTGTACATACGAAAATAATTCAGACCGTTCTATTGAATGACTCGCAGATATTCCCTTAATCAAATAACTACTGGTGGACCTTTAAGTGTCATAATGATGTCAGAATTGAGTGATCATGTAGGATTCGTCTTGTCGAGACGCTCAATTCAACTATAAGCATGTCATATTTGAAATCTATTTGACTTTTCAATTATACAATGAAAGCTTTCAAAAATAGTTTAACTGCTCGATTTGGGCTTTATTTGACTCAAATTGAATAAATTTTGGCCCCATTGTTCTGGCTCCTTGAACAGATCAATTTGACTATAAGTTTACTAAAACATGAGTTTTTGAGGCCTTTTGATCGAAGTTTGAATATTTCCTGCTCAAAAAATTGCTGATGAAAATTTGTTGATGGCATATCAGAGATGGATATTATTGCAATCGTTTTGGATTTAATTGGTTTGTTGAAAAAAAAAAGTAATATAAAAGAAATGTAGTGAAAATTAAATTTAATACATTGAAAATTACATATTGATATTTGGATTAATACATCACAAACACATCGATTTTATTACTATTTTTTTTGAACCAAAAATCAAATGTTTTGCAAAACCCTCAAGTGATAGCGGACAGTGACGACAAGGTAGTGGTGGATGCTGGCTGGCTAATGATAGTCGGTCATAGGGGCCGGTAATCGCTAGATAATATAAACTTATGGTCAATGATGACAACTAGTCGTATGGACAATGCGATGGCATATTGTCAGTAGCGGCTAACAGTGATAATGATAGTAGTAGTGTTTGGTAGTCGGTGGGCAAAAGTGGATGCCCAATAGCAATGATCAATTGATTAATGACCATGTTGTAAAGGGTGGCCATAATGGTTGCAGCTGATTTTATGACCAATAATAATATTGCTGACAACCGCAATTTGTACTGTATTTGAAAATGACAGAATCCGATGAATATAAAATACATTAAAATATTGTAAAGGGTGGTCATAATGGTTGCAGCTGATTTTATGACCAATAATAATATTGCTGACAACCGCAATTTGTACTGTATTTGAAAATGACAGAATCCGATGAATGTAAAATACATTAAAATAAACATAAATATGACATTTGAAATTCATTGCAACTTTACAATCCATTCATTTTTTCCTCAAATCACACAACTAAACTTTTAAAACCCCTTCATTTGGAACACAATACTCTTTTTTTTCCAGCAAATCAAACAACCACATGATAAATATGTCAAACTTCATTTAAATTTTACTCATTTATTTAACAAATGAGATTTAATATAATTAAAAAATAATTTAATATAATTAAAAAATAATATGCCATTATTTATTTATTTATTTATTCATTTTACATTTAAGTAACAAGCATTGATGTTTTTTCTGACCAATTGGGCTGCTTTGAATTAAAGTGTCCATCACTTTTTTTTGGGACTTTTACACACATATCACACAAATCTTATGTATTTACGTATCTCATATCTAATTTTCATATTTACTCAAATAACAGTTAAATTTTTAACATTACATAAAAATAATATTATTATCACTTTTAAAAAGAAAATACATATTTTCATATCAAAATTTAGAATAGAAAATGCATTATATAGACATATGAAAACTTAAGATGTGATATATATATAAAAGGAAATTAATATTTGGTAGAGGCCCAAATATCAATTTCCTCTACGCAATCCAGCCCATGATGAGAGCTCACGCCATGTGCCTATAATTCGACTTCCCACGCATCACGATAGAGATTGAATCCTTGCCAGAGGGGACTTACGGTGACCCTGCTTACCAACTGGACAAGGAATATATGAGTCATGGTAAGTTATTTTATTTTATTTTTCTTCAATAAAGCGAGCATTTTAGCCACACTCATTAAATTTTATATTTTATTTTCAACTTACACCCCATCCACCATAACTTTAAGATATACTTTAATTTTTCAAGGAATAATTACATCAACAGCATAAGAAACACGACTATTTACAAATTAAGCATATAGCTGATTTCTTGAATTATGAAATCGATATATTTACACGTGTCATGATCAAATCATTATAAATTTGTTAAAGAAGAAAAATCTGAGTTGGATTTTTATCACGACGTTTGAAATTTGTCTAAGTAATTAAAAAATGGGTGAAAGAGAGGGTTTGATTTGTAAATAATAGTATTTTGTGTGACCTGATTGTAATGGCTTTGTTTAAACGCCGCGCTATCTATCCCGCATCGCGATAAAACCCTAATAGTTCCCAACTGTAAAATCTTTAGACCTGTCGTTTTCTCTTCTCCATCTGTTTCTCAACTGCCTGTGCTCTTTTTCATCCAAGTGGAGAAGACAGCGAGAGAGAGAGAGAGAGAGAGAGAGAGAGAGAGGGTGTGTGTGTGTTAATGCGGGTTCGTCTGGAAGACCCCACCTTCGCTTTGTTGTGTATTGAATCACTCACTGGGCGCTGTCCTCCACTCCCCATGCCTGCGTATTTAAAACCTCACTCACTGCTCATCTTCAACCAGATTTGGCCGAAGGCTTGGGTTGCTCGGAATGTGGAGCTCCACGGAGACCGCTTTCTCACGATCCAGCTCGTACCGAGAATGCGCGGAAGAGGAGGAGGAGGCGCTCCGGTGGGCGGCACTGGAGCGACTTCCAACATTTGCTCGTATCCGTCGTGGGATTATCCGGCGCGAAGCTGGCGATTTCTCGGAAGTTGATGTGTCGAATCTCACAGCTCGTGAACGCACCAGCTTAATCGACCGCCTCCTCGGCGACTTCGGTGATCCCGAGCGGTTTTTCCAGAGAATCCGGCAGAGATTTGACGCGTGAGGCTTTTTTCCTTTCTTGCTCGCATTGTTCTCACTTTAGAAGTTTTGCTTATTGAGTTAAGTTATGAGGTATGTTTTGCTTGCATTGCATTTTCATTGGATATTTTAATAATTTTTGTTATGTTGCGCTTGGATTTTTTAAGTTGGCTTGAATCCTTGTTCATCTTCAACATTGGTTTGTATCTCTGTAGTTGTGTGCTTAATTGGTCTTACCTTTTTTATTGTCTGTATTTTAAGCTGTATTTGGCTTACTAGTTGGATGTGTCAAAGCTCTGATTTTGATGATTTTTCTCAATGTGTTTGCAAGCAATTCTGAGGAAAGTAGAAGTCATAACTCTGTGTCGCATGTCGTTGGGTCTTTTGTGACACCATTAACGATTTGTTGGAACAGAAGCTTACTTTATGCTTTTATTTTATTGGTGAATTCTGCGTCACCTTTTCCTCATTATTTTGTAGAGTAAACCTTGAGTTTCCCAAAATTGAGGTTCGATTCGAGGAGCTGAAAGTTGACGCATATGTTCATACGGGAAGCAGAGCTTTACCGACGCTTCCTAATTTTATTTATAACATGACAGAGGTAATTTATTTCTCTTTTGCTTTTTATTTCTTAATTTTTTTTTATCTTGTTGCATGTTCTTTTTTAAAATTTTTATATTTTTGCCCCTATGATGAGAATTAGTCAGCGTATCCTTTGGTCTAAAGCTGGATTATTAACCAGATTTGCGTTTATTTGGCCTTCTTTGAGTGTTCTGATGCCTTAGAGTGCTTGTCAGATCATATGGGTCAGCACTTTTAGATAATAAATGTATTTTTCATAATATTTTTGAATTAGCACAGCATGATTTTAATCATAATATCGTGGAAGATTGAGTTTATGGATTAACTTCATGTATTATGTATTGGTTTCATTTTCATCTTCATTTTAATCCGCTCAATTCGTAATGGAGTCATTTAAAATTTTAGTTCTGAATACAGTTTTTTTTAAAATGAAATTATTTATTCTTTAGCAACTCTTTATGTATGTCAATGGTACCATTTTAGCTAACTATCCTACAATTACTTTGAGTCAAAAACACAGCCAAGGCAGCTTGTCTCATGATGGAATGCCCCATACCATCTCAAGTCTTAAGTGACAACATGCCTTGTGTATTATAGCCCTTTTTTTCAGATGATTTTTCTTAAAAGTGATGGAAGATTAACAATGTTATTTACTCATGCTGCCGTTCAGGTTGAGTTATTCTTCATTTAATAAAGAATTCCATGCTTTGTGTCAAAATTCTTAATGAAATCTTCTTTTTATGCCCTAGCGGGTTCTCATAATAACTATTTCCTAATTTTAACAATGGATTCACTTTATAGGATGCCCTTTATGGATGGTATTTTTATGGAATACATGCTGCTAAAGGTTTATTATTTTATGAATGTGGTTTTTGAAATTTATTCTGGATTATCTGACCTGCTTTTAGCTGTCTTGGCAAGGCCTTCTTGAGGCAGTTAAAAATTTTTCCAGGTAGGAGAAAGAAATTGTCCATTCTGAATGATGTTCGCGGGATAGTGAAGCCTTCTAGGTTAGTGGCAATTTCACTAAAATTTATCCAGCATCAAAGTGGTACCTGCTGCTAGCTTATATGTTTTTTGTCACTACTACAGATTGACACTACTTTTGGGTCCGCCGAGTTCTGGAAAGACAACTTTACTTTTAGCTCTCGCTGGCCGGCTTAGTTCTGATTTACAGGTAAATGATCCTTAACGAACTTCTGAAATCTCAAATAACTTACCAACAACATGCTTGTGCATCCTCTTTCTGTTAGGCCTTTTGCAAAAGTGTAAGAATAGTCATGTATTACTCAAAAATTAGCATAAGAACATTTATTATAATCTGTGCATAGATTTCATACGCCCCCTCATAGTCCTTTATTGGTTTAAGGATCTAGTCATAGTAATTCACTTGTGTTTGTTTGTTTTTAGTCTGTGGGAATGACATTGGTTGTCTTCATTGTAAATTAGAGGTCATGCGTTTCAAATCATGTGAATTCTACTCTGGAATGTACATGTAATTGTATATGCCAAACTTTAGCAAGACAGAGACTAGAAAGAGCCTCGTGAAATGAATACAGCATTTTTTTGTTTTTGGATAATATAAATTATTGAATTTAGTCTTATTGGGTGTAATTTACCAACTTTACCTTCAGATTAGTCATTCAGTTGATGAGAGTACGAGTCGATGTAGGATTTAAGCGTATGATTAATCAATTGCTATATTAGTATGTGTATGCACCTATTAGGACATTAGATTGTCCTTTTTATCATTTTGATTTTTTGTATTAGAATTTCTTATCATTTTAGTTGAAGTATTTAAGTATAAATGTAATGTAATAGATTTAATTAATAAGAATAGTATCTATTGGGGTTCTCTTTAAAACAATGATTTGACTTAGGACTGCTCATTTATAGTTTCAAAATTTATAGAATTTAGAAGCAACTTCTTCACGGGTTTTCTTACCCAAGTTCAACTACATAAAGTCAATACCATCCCCCAAATCTATCATAGACCACTTTCCATTGAGTCAAGGATCCAAGTCTAATCCCACCACCTGTTTTCATTGATCTTGGAATTGTTGAAGTCATTTGGTGATGTCTCCTGAACAAAAATGTATATGTTATTGTTAAAGGGCCATAAATCCGGGAGGATTGGGGAAAGAGCTAGATAAGAAAAATTAAAGGTCATGGATTTATTACTTATCAGGGAATACCTCTCTCATAGATTCATACGCCAAAAGGAAAGATAGAACCTATGGATTGCTCCCTTGGAATCAATCGACAATCCCTAAATGATCAATTGTCAAATAGCTATGGGCATTTTTTGTGTTTGTTATTGTAATTATTTATTTATTTTTTATTTCTGTGTCTATTTTAGGTAGATAACCATTGATAAACAATCTAAGCTTTCTTAGCCATTTGTTTTCTACTGAGTGCCGGAGCAATGTTATGGGTAATTTCTTATTACCTTTTTTCTTCCTACTTTTTTTCCCATCCTTTTCTCATCGGAGCTCTGCCTTTTTTTATTTATATATGTTTTTTTGAAACTTCTCTTTCGATGAGGCAACCATCATGAATGGTGAAAATAAGACTAAAGGTTCAATTATAGAAATTATTGAAGTGGCATTAAATCGTGAAGCCTTTCTTGAAAAAAAGTAAAAGATCTTCTGTTTTGTGTATACACCTCCAAAGTTGAAAGACCAAAGGTTTATACTTTGGGAAGAAATATATTCTATGAACATCACATTGCTGTGGAATACCATGATATTAGAAATCAATGGGCCATATATGTTTTTATTTACTACAAAAGAATATTTGGATGCTGTCAAACAAGCATACTAAAAAATTAATGACGCTACACTTCTTTAAGAGATTAAAATGAAAATTTTTACTACCAAATAAGGTAATATTCCCGCAGTTGAATATTTTAATGACATGAAGGTTTATTGGCTTGTTGGATTATTACTAATATCTCAATATCACTTGCTGTGAGGATGTTATAATTCTCAAGCAGTTTGTGGTAAGAGAGAGAATTTGAGTTTCTTACATGACTCAAAATTGATCTGGATCAATTTTGAATTCAAATATTAATAACTAATACCTTCCTTCTGGAAATGAGATTTTCTTCTCCCATGCAAGCTGAAGAATGAAGAAAAAGAATGATGTTCATCTGTCATGCAACCAGTAAATCCCATGATTAGAGATTTGCTGCCATAATTTTTTTGTGTATTTTAGACCTCACTATGAGAAAGATTGCTAGGTAAGCTAAAGAGAAGAATGAACTATAATTTTTTTGAGGATCAAAATTAGTTTTTATACTCCTTCATTTTCATCCACAATGTTGGCATAATCTGAGACATCATTATAATTTAAGACATCCATTTTTTGAAACCCTTTATTGTATTTTTCTTTTTCTTTTTATGAATTTAAATATTGAGAATTTCTATTATGAGATCTTTTAACTTGCAAAATATGTTCATTTTGCTTTTCTTGAAAGCAATTTTAGATCTCCTATTGTTTTTATTTAAATTCACTTTGATATTTGACAGCCCCCCAAAATTTTTATATTTTTGTTACTATCCCATTTGTCACCTTCACTGATGATTTGTACTCCAATGGATTAGGCATATTTATTAACCAAAAATTCGATATCAACATTGCTCTTCTCTTTTTTATTATCATAATAAAAACTCATTTTAATATAAATATTAACATACATTTGGATTAATAATGCTCATTATTAATTTAATCACACATTATCAATTTTTTGTCATAAATAAGGTATCATACACCAATCATCATGGAGTGACATGATGGAAACATAGCTACCTTTTACAAGTCAACATGATTCTTTTCCTCCATAACTATGTATGAAATCTGTACTGGATAGAAGCTATTCTTAGTATCACTTATCTGATCAATAGAATACCCTCCAAAGCGATTAACTCCAAAAGTCCCTTAAAATATCTGACTGTAATCTGACACAACTCACTTTATCTTAAAGTTTCCTTGGAAATTTTTTGGGTGTATTGTCAATGTTCATATCCACAAATAATATTGGGGGAAGCTAGATACAAAAGTTTTCAAGTATGTGTTGGTCAAATATTTCTCTACTTAGAAAGGATACAAAATCTATCATCCCATAATAGTTTAAATAAAAATTTTTTTCTTGTTAAAAGTGACTCCATTAAAGCAACCAATATATATATATATATATATTGGTTGCTTTAATGGAGTCACTTTTAACAAGAAAAAAAATTTTATTTAAACTCATTTTTATGGGGGAAAATGTCCAGAAAGAACTAGGTTTGGGGAAATTTTAATCTTTAATGCTGACATCCCTTGACCTAAAACCCAATAAAATTCTAGCAATGTACCCTTTCAGGTCTATACAAGGAGTACACCCAACTAAAATCTCTAGTATGCTTAAAAGTTAGTACTCTTATCTGGTAACAATGATAAAACCATCACACTCTTTTTTATTCCATCTCTTAATATACAATCATCCAAAGTTTTTTCTTTGCACATAAAATTCACCTTTTAAATATCAGTTCCAACTCTATTACAACACCACATACCTATTTGAAGCATTAGACAATGAGAATTGGAAGAAGGTTATGAGAGAAGAGATAAATGCTTTAGATCAAAATCATGCTTGGAAGATTTCAGACCTATCAAAAGGGAAAATATGGAATGATAGTAATTTTTTTCTTATAAAATATTATGTAGATGGGGGTTTATAACGCTAAATGGAAAGATTAATATGCACAAGATGCATCATTTACATTATGATTTCCTTAGCTACTAATTTTGATTTGTCCATGCAACTTTACAACGTGAAGAATGCTTTCTTACATGAGAATTTTGAACACGAGGTCTCTATGAATTCACCCCAAGATTCAATTATACTTTCACAAAGACTAAAATGTGCAAATTAAAAATGGTTTTATATTGACGAAAGTAATCTCTATGAGCTTATTTTGATAGATTCACGAAAGTTATGATGAAAGTTAGATATAGACGAAGCTAAGGAGTCATATACACTTCATAATGTACTTCTCTGATGGAAAAATTTTAATCTTCAATATATATTTGTCAATGAAATCAAAGAGCTAGGCAAATTCAAATAATTTATCAGGCATAAAAGTTGCCCAATTTGAGTTACAAATATTTTTCTCCCTGCCAAAATATGTCAGATCTAATAAAGAAAGCAAAAATGATGAAGTGCAATTTGTGGGAAATCCTAACTAATTGGTTTAGAAGTTGAAAATAGACAAAAAGAAAAGAAGTAGCACGGTATAATATCAAATATTATTTAAAAATTAGTTTCTTTATTTCACACCCGGTTTGACATCATATTCACATTAAGTTTTTTCATCCAATTAATGCAAAAATCTAAGGAATCTCATTTTTAAGCTGTCTTTTGAATTCTTAAATATCTTAAATCAAATTGAGATAGAAATTCTATATAAAAAGCAGAATATTTTATAAATTGAAGGATATACTTAAAGAGTAACTATGACACCCAAAAAAGGGTGGGTAAATTGAGTGATTTTTTTTTAAAAATTACTTTTAAAATTACTTTTGAATAAAAATAGGTTATCCTGATTGAAATCTTTTTTTCTTACAATGTCATGATAAGATAAGTATGTGTAGTAAACAAAAGAAAATGGCTGGAGATGATCACATTCACAAATGCCAAAAAAATAAAAAAAATTGAAAAGAATATGCATAAAATTTTTTTTATGATTTAGTCTAAAAATAACTTTAAAGCCTAATGTCATGCCTAACCAACCCTAGGTTAAAAAAATCATTGTCAACCAATAATCAATTATAACCCAAGTGTTCATTTCACTTGGCCTATTGATAGTGGAGTTAACCTAAACCAAAATAGGAAAAACAAATATTATTACTGAAAATAAATTGACGTTTACAACCAACATACTTGAAAGGAAAAATACAACAACTCACCACTCGAAATCTAAAATAACAACAAACATGCACAAACAATCAAACTAGGCTGGGATCTTGGGGTGGTGATCAGCAGGGGCTTGTAAGGTGGGAGCGTGGAGCAAGTGAGCATATATGACAATGGAACAATGTGCCCTTGTTGTCATGGGCGGCAACAAGGTGGAATTTGGGTTTCTGAGGGTTGGAATGGCGGATTTGTGGTAGGGAGATGGTACAAGAGGGCTG